TATAAAATTATAATATTTCAAGTAGCAGTTACAGTTTCAACAGTTTTTATTACCAATCAGACTTTATTAATATTTAAAAATAAAAACCACAGTTCTTACAACTTTTTTTCTACAGCAAAAAGTATACAATCACAGTTTACAGCCACGGTACTTACCAATTAGCCCCGTAGATTGACAAAAAAAAAAAGATTGTATACGGTTATATTTCCAACATTAATGGACCACATGATGCACGATCAAAATCTGAGCTAAATTTGGCGGCTCTTAAACGTCGACTCAAGACACTCTTCCACCTTCCACCTTCCACCTTCCACGTGCATGTCTTCACATCTACTTTGTTGGCTATCTAAAAATCTCGATTACAGGTATCATATTTATCATTCATAACTACATTGATGTTATCTTTTATTTCATGTGCATTTTATCGTTAGCCTACCGATTCATGTGGCAAGTAAAAACCATATGACTTCAGGATATTTACTTTAGGATATTTTATTGTTTTAATGAATGCCCTTAAAATGACATCTACTTTAGGATATTTTGTTATAAGATGTTTTGACTTCAATCGTTAGGCATTCATTACTCATTAGACAGTTTCTTTTCTTTTAAAAAACATTACTCGTTAGACAGTTAGAAACTCTTATAACAAAATATCCTAAAGTGAATCATACAATATCAAGATAACTTTATTTCGGTGAAGCTACGAAATTAAAGATAGCTAGAACTCTGAAAAAAAAATTATATTTTCATTTATTCATATGTTTGACAATAAATGAAATCCTATAGTACTAGGTACATTTAATACAAGCTCACATCATTTTCGTAAATTAAATAAAGTAAAAAACAAATTTAAACTCTTGGCTTAACCATAGCTCTCAACGGTTTCTTCATAACCACCGTGAACTCCAATTTTCCAGCGAAATCGATTTCGCTTCCCGCCGGATAAGCGCTCCATTCAAATTCTTGAACTATCTTCGCAAGCATCAAGTGCACGTGTACGGTCGCCATCGATAGCCCCGGACAAATCCGACGGCCTACACCAAACGGCATCATTTTAACTCCGGTTACACCGGTTATATCCGCGTCTTCCTTACCCGAAACAAACCGGTCCGGATTAAATTTCTTCGGATCAGACCAAATCTTCGGATCCTCGTTTATACCGGGTAGATAAAACTCGACATTGATCCCGACGGGGACATCGTATCCGGCGACCGTCGTCGGCTCCGTCACGGAATGTGTCAACGTGAAATAAGTCGGAGGATGTTTCCGAAGAATCTCCTTGACAAAAGCTTGTAAAAAGACCATTTTGTCCACGTCTTTTTCTTCAACCGAACGATCTCCAACCGTTGATTTAATCTCATCGTTGAGACGAGATTGAATCTCCGGATTCGTGATCAGCTGCGCGATCCCCCACTCGATCGCCGTCCCCGTCGTGTCCGTACCACCGTTGAGAAACTCAGAACAGAGCGTCACGAGCTCTTCGTTAGACGGCGTCGTTTTACGTCCTTCGATTTTTAAGTCGAATAGCGTATCGAGGTAAGAGAAAGACGACGCCGTTTTATCAGTTCCGGGATTCTGAATCGCTCTACGTCGTCTCTCGATGAATCCGACGACGAAATCCACCTGTTCACGACGAACCCCGAGCGCTCGTTTTCTCTCCTTGGAGTAAAACGGAGCAAGGATCGGTAGATAATCGTCGAGTCTTGGATCGATTGTGATCAAAACTTTCTTCATCATCTGATCCATTCCCAAAATCGATTCTTCATCCATTTCGATACCGAAACACATTTCTAAGAGAATGCAAAACGCAGCGAATCTAGCGTTTCGAAGAACCCAGACAAGTCCGTTGTTGTCGTTAGCCTCTGTTTTGATCCTCTCCGCGAGTTTATCCATGGCGGATTGTCTAACCGAACCGAATTCCTTGAACCGGGTCGAGCTAAGCATGTTTTGTACCATGTTACGTCTTAAGGACCGCCACACGGGTCCATAAACGGAAGCGTTGACGGTGAATGTGTTGGAGCTGAAGATGGTTCGGGTCGGATTCTCTTTAGGCCGGGTTGCGAACATTGGTCCACGTTGTATCAGAACATCGTGAGCTAGAGTCGAGTCGGAGATGATAATCATCGTTCGACTACCCATTCTTAACGTGAAAATCGGACCGTATTTTTTCCTTAGATCGTCGACGAACTCGTAGAATTGCTTACCGGAGCGCGCGAATTGAAAAAGGTTTCCGACCACCGGCCAACCTGGAGGACCCGGAGGTAGTTTCACGCGCTTCGAGTTTGAACTCCGGCGCGTGATGATCAGTAGAAGGAAACAAGATACGAGAATGGCGATTATGGTGTATGAGAGTGAAGGAGATATGTTAAATGAAATTGGAGAGAACGAAAGGAGAGACATTTTTCTTAGCTTTTTCTTCTTATTCTTCTCTGTTTTTTTCACTGAGTTTTGTAAGAGAGAAGAGGAAGGTATAAAAACAGAGTAAAGCATGAGAATTTAGGTGAAGAGAATTTAAAGAAATCAGACTTCTTTCGGTGTTGGGGACTAAAGACATTTAATTTGATAAGGCTGGGTTTGGTACGAGCAGTACGATGAAATTTAAAATTTGTTTCTTTCTTTATCCAAGTAGTTGTAAACTCGTTTAATAATGGAGTCGATTGCTAGCTAACACACACTTCTCCAGGTTTTATTGCCACTCATAGTCATTGTAGAATTTCATAATGTTTTAAGTATTAATCGCATTCCAACCAATTCACCATCAGACTTTATATTAGCATATTCGAGTTTTTAAATTGGATTTTAATACATACGTATGATAATATTCCCGCGGCTTTCACTTTTTAAATCCTAGGTTTGACCATGGCTCTCAACGGCTTCTTCATTACTACCGCAAACACCAACTTTCCGGCGAAATCTATGTCACTCTCCGGTGGATAAGTACTCCACTCGAACTCTTGAACCATCCTCGCTATCATCAAACTCACATGTGCCGTCGCCATTCCCATCCCGGGACAAATCCGACGGCCAACACCAAAAGGCATCATCTTCACTCCGGCGACTCCCGTCATATCGGCGTCTTCCCGCCCCGATACAAACCGGTCTGGATCAAACTTTTTCGGGTCGGACCATATTTTCGGGTCTTCGCTAATACCCGGTAGATAAAACTCGACGTTAACTCCGATAGGGACATTATAGCCGGAGAGAGTCGTCGGTTCCGTTACACCGTGGCTTAGCGTAAAGTAAGTCGGTGGATGTCGCCGGAGAAGCTCCTTGACAACGGCTTGTAAAAAGACCATTCTGTCCACGTCCTTTTCCTCGACCGCACGATCTCCCACCGTTGATTTAATCTCATCGTACAGTCGAGATTGAATCTCCGGATTCGCGATCAACTCCGCGATTCCCCATTCGATCGCGGCTCCGGTAGTATCCGTACCGGCGTTGAGAAACTCCGAGCAAAGCGTCACGAGATCTTCGTCAGACGGCGTCGTTTCGCTTCCTTCGACGACTCTGAGATCAAAAAGCGTATCGAGATACGCGAACGACGACTCGGATCCTCCCGGATTACGAATCGTCTTCCTCCGTCTCTCGATGAATCCGACGACGAAATCCACCAGCTCCCGGCGAAGTTTCAAGGCGCGATTTCTCTCACGGAAGTTAAACGGCGTTAAGATCGGGAGATAATCGTGGAGTTTCGGATCGACGGCGTTTAAAATCGCCGTCATCATCTGATCCATCTTCTCGATTGATTCTTCTTTCATCTCAACTCCGAAACACATATCTAATAGAACACAAAACGCAGCGAATCTGCTGTTTTTAAGAACCCAGACGAGTCCTTCGTTGTCTCTAGCTTCCGATTTGATCCTCTCGATGAGTTTATCCATGGCGGATTTTCTCGCGAAGCTAAATTCCTTGATTCGATTCGAGCTAAGCATGTTCTGAACCATGTTTCGTCTCAAAGACCTCCACACGGGTCCATACATTGCGGAATGGACTGTGATTTCACTGGAGCTGAAGATTTTCCGGGTCGGAGTTTCGACGGGTCGGGTCGCGAATTGGGCTCCGCGTTCGATTAAAGCCTCGTGTGCGAGACTCGCGTCTGATATGATGATCATAGTTCGAGTACCTAGTCGGAGAGTGAGAATCGGACCGTAGATCTTTCGTAGATCCTCGACGTACTCGAAGAACTGTTTACTGGAGCGTGTGAACTGAAACAGGTTTCCGATCACCGGCCATCCTGGTGGGCCCGGCGGGAGGTTATTACGGTTCGAATTGTGATTCCGGTAGGTGATGGTTAGTGAAACTAAACCGGATATGAGAATGGCCAATACGGTTAAGAAGACATTAGGGAACAAGTCAAGAGAAGCAAGAGAAAGTGACATTTTTTTTGTTTTCTTTTCCAAAGAGCTTTTTTTTTTTAAAGCTTTGGAGGATTTAAAGAAGCAGCAGCTTGTTAAAACAGTGTTAAAAGATTTGTAATATACGTAAATAAGCTGCTTCTTCTTTAAATCCTAACGTATGATTTGCTTACCAACTATAATTTCGATCTATTTTAACTTATTTACATATAGAGATGTCAATGAATCAAATCAGATATGCATCAATTAGCTAGCAATCGGTTATATGTTATATGAAGTATAAAATCATTTTTCTTTATGAATTAGTTATATATTTTGATGAAACTTTGAATTCCGTTCAACAGTGCAAACTAATTGAGTGAATATTCTTATAGATGGAAATGTTTGATTAGTTACCAGTACCACACAAGATTGCAATAATGCCGATCAGTAACGAGGGTATGAAAGTGGTGAAAACATATGTCATGTGTAGTTTTTTTTTTTAAGGGTAGGAGGCAACATGCTATGTGTTTAAGTTGACTTAGGTTCCAAAGTGATTGAAATTCGACATGAAAGCGGTGGGGGAAAGAAAATTGCTACCGACATATCATTTGGTCTGAAAGGTTGGCCGGAGAAGTCTTGGTGAGCATACGAAGAAGTGTTGAAGTTAGATTCTGCTCTATTCCAAACATAGCATTCTACATTCTTGCTTTTTTTTTTTTTAATAATTTCATTACCCATGGTTGCTGGGCTTTTGTGCAAATAGCAAATACATTACCATTCCCAAAAAGGAAGTAATTATTTTGTCCATAC